CCCCAAAACCCCAAAACCCCAAAACCCCAAAACCCCAAAACCCCAAAACCCCACTCTGCTTAAAATTTATTGAAAGGATATGGAAGATAAGAAGCCAAGTCAGTAAGTTGAAGGCTTTTTGACTATTTTGGAGATTTCTTAGGGGCTCCATAAGGGAAAATTAGATGTTTATTGCTTTAGCAAACTACTCTGTTATGGAACTCCAGTAGTAGCGATAGCACTAGGATACCTCCTTTCTAAAAGATTGTCCTCAAATTCTGAGATTATCGGAGGTATTGAGATGGGTGGCACTAATATCAAACTATGCTTAGCCAAGAGATCAAGTAGGACTTCTGAATTACCTAAAATAGTTAGAGATATGCCATTTAAAATAATTGGTGAACCACTTATCATCAAGACAGCTGGAGATGATGGACTCAGCATTGAAAGAGATGAAAATGGAATCTCTCCCTATCACTCAAAGATTTTCAGCAAGGTACAACTAATTTAACTTAAAATAGATGATCGAGTTTTTAACTTCTCAAGGCCCAATCTCAAATATAGGAATTGCGTCATTTGGCCCTATTTGTGTAGATCCAGAGTCAGATAGTTATGGAACAATCCTTAATTCTCCAAAGAAGAAATGGGTCATGTTTAATCTTGTGAAAGCATTTAATTCTCTCTGGGAAGGCCCTAAGCCATCTATCACTGTAGACACTGATGTTAATGCAGTTGCTAAGTTTGAGTTCGGGCATGGCGGTCACAATGCGAAGAAGAATTTGGCTTACATCACTGTCGGAACAGGAATAGGAGTTGGACTCGTCATCAATGGAGACACATGTACTGGACTCACTCACCCTGAAGGTGGTCATGTCTGTGTCAACAGACATTCAAATGAAGTAGAAGAGTTTAAAAGTGTTTGTGGTTTCCATGATTGTTGTGTAGAAGGATATGCAACTAATGTATCTATTGCAAAAAGAAAGAATATTGACATCGAAGCTTTACCAAGCCTGGATGATACTGATCCAGTCTGGGAACTCGTTGCCTACTATTTAGCTTCCTTATGATGCACAGTTACTTTGACTTGCAGCCCAGAAGCTATTGTTATTGGAGGAGGAGTTATGAATAGAAAGATACTTTACAAAATGATTCAAGAAGAGTTTATCACACAAATGCACAACTATATCACTCATGATAAAATCACAAAAGAGAATGTAGATAAGTACATTGTGAGATCAAGATTTGAGAATGATTGCGGGCTCTACTCAGCCTTATCCTTAGTATAATCAAATTCATGAATCAAGACCTCAGCAATTTGTTCTTTCTTAATGGGGTTTTGGGGTTTTGGGGTTTTGGGG